GCAAAAATGGTATCGGTGCATCCCTTTATATATGTTTGTAGCGCTCACCCCCGAAGGAGCCGCTGGATATGAACTAGGGTTCTCCTACCTGTTTTGCCAGCCACCGGCACATTTTTCTCAGCTCCAGCAACACCGATACTCCCGAACAGAACAGGCTCGAGTCGTAGGATATTTTTAGCATTTATTGCATGGTATCAACTAGGAGAGAGGGTTGGGGTTGCAGGATACCCGAGTAACAATGTAGAGGACTATGTCTTCTTCCTTAGCAACAGCTTGAACCAGTAGCACAACGGTCGAATCACACTGGAACGAGTACTCACCCAGATACTCTGTTTTGGCACCGGTACCGATACTAGTATCAGTATCGGTGCTTCCCTACTATGTAGAACAGAACAATACAGCTCCTGAAATGCAGCGGGTGAAACTCCTCAGTACGATGTGATGAGGAAAGAATTGTTCAGATTTAGCACGTGACTTCTCCCAGCAAAACAGATGTTTAGAGCTCAAAATCCTTCACTACGCATGAACAATGTGAAATTATTCTATACTATTCCCTCCGTGGCCACCCCCCCTGAAATGATGGCAAATAACAAAGAAGCTATTACTTCCCATGCTATCTGCTGGTTTTTGTTTTTTTTTGGGGGGGGGTTTAGTATTCTGACAAAAAAAAGCATAGAAATGAATAGCTTGATTGCTATTGGCTATTTGAATTCACAATAGCCAATAGCAGACTAGCTTTTGCACCCGCCCACTGCTGCTGTCAATCAGCAGGAGGAGGACCTGATGGAGAACTTCAATAGCTAGTCTGATATTGGCTATTGCAAATTCAAATAGCCAATAGCAATCAAGCTATTAATTTCTATGCTGTCTTTTTTTTTTTACTCTGATGGCAGCCGGTGGCTCCGATATCAGAATGAAAAAAAAGACAGCATGTAAAGGTTTACTCTGCTAGATCAAGCAGAGTAAACCTTTCCAGCAGAAAATATTTATCTCCCGGGAGACCCCCAGAACGTATGGGAGAGTTGGGATGGCTGTAGTTCTGACAAACATACACAATAAAGTAGACGTGCGATTCGTTTCGTTCCGAATCGAAATTCGGACATTCGGATGTATCCGAATTCCGAATTACAGACATAACAAATGCAAACGAATCCGAATTTCCATTTCCGAAATTCGGTAGCGGTAGTCCGAACGTTCGCTTCGTTTTCGTTTCGTTCGTTGGAGCAAAGTGACATTATAGAAGGAGAAAAATATTTTTTCCCCCTCAAATGTCACGAACGAACGAAACGAATAAGAAACGAATAAGAAACGAATAAGAAACGAATAAGAAACGAAACAAACGTTCGACCTACCGCTACCGAATTTCGTCCGAATTGACTTTCACACCCGAATCCCGAAAAACGAAATAACACAAAACTAAACGAATTTTTTGGCAGTGCACATGTTTACAATAAAGTGACACTAGACTCAGGCGTTAAATCTTAACTATTAACAAAAATGTATCTTATTTGTGTATCGCTTGGCTGTAGATCCTTAAATCATCTCTGAATTGGTGTTCCTGTCCTTCCTTCTGGAGGGGTTATGTTTGTTCCCCATGGTCCCTGTGCATGTTATAAAGTGGTCACCACTCCAAGCTCGCTCCCGTGATGGACTACAATCTCATGTTTAGTTTACGGATTTGTATTGAAATAAAAAAAAAATGCAGCACAGCTCTACAATTCATGCACATTTGTCTGTGTTTTGTCTCCTTAAAAACACTGCAGCTATGGAAAAAAAAATTCTGTCAATCCAGAAATCCAGTGAACTCCTAAATTCTAGTAGTACCTCTGCTGCACAGAAATCCCAAGCAGTGTTGTCAGTGCTGCCCAATTGTACCTTGCTGAACTACAGACACCTTTTTATTTTATGGAGATGAGGAGAGGAAAGGTGTTCCATATTAGGAGGAACATTACAAGCACTTTCTTTTGTAAAGAAGTGTTTGTAGAGTTGAAAGACAGATCAGTAGCATATGCAGACAATCTTATCCAGCACAAGTCAGTCAGTCAGTCAGTCAGTCAGTCAGTCCTAGTCCATATGATAACAGTACAGAAATGTAGCACTTGGTCCTCGTGCATGATTATTATTAATGCACCAATACAATTTTTTTTCCATACCAAGTAGGAGTAGCGATGCTCTTCCTCAAGTACTCGCCGATACCAATTACCGATACCTTTTTTTAAAATTTGTTTTTTTGTGTGTCGTGACAGTTTTTCTAAAACAATACAGACTAATGATTTTAGGACAGTGATGGAGCGCCAGGAAATGGTTACAGCTACAAACGCTGTGCCACTGACTCTGAGCTGTAGAGAGACTACAAATCCCAGCAATACATTATACAGCAATGCAGAATACCACCATCCGCTATAGAGGACTACAAATCCCAGCAATACATTATACAGCAATGCAGAATACCATCAGCTAGAGAGGACTACAAATCCCAGCACTACATTATACAGCAATGCAGAATACCATCAGGTAGAGAGGACTACAAATCCCAGCACTACATTATACAGCAATGCAGAATACCATCAGCTGTAGAGGACTACAAATCCCAGCAATACATTATACAGCAATGCAGAATAATACCATCAGCTATAGAGTACTACAAATCCCAGCAATACATTATATAGCAATGCAGAATAAATCACAGGACAGAAACAGCAAGCAATATTTCTAAGGTTGCTGTAGAGTTCAGGTTTTGCTGCACCATACCTGTACATAGAGCATTCTGTGCTGCCGCTCTGCTCCGGGATGTCAGCCTGATTTCTCTGGGTGGAGTCTCAGAAGGAGGAGATGTGTAAGCACTGTAAATAGGCGCTGCGTGGTTCCCAAGATGACTGCTGCGAGGTCCCCATCAAGTTAATTTGCATATTTAAAGCACCGATAACTGTCAGTATGCCATACATCAGTAAGCCTTATTTATGGCAGTGGTTTTCACTCTTCTGCTATAAGCTCGTGGTCACTTTAGCGACCATGAGCCTATATCAGAAGGGTTCTCCTGACGGTCCTCTGTAAATGAATCAACAAGCTGACAAGCCGTTGATGACAGCTATTCATTCAAATTCTGCCGCCGGCCAGAATTTGACAGCTTTTCCTGCCCTCTCCTTCCCACCTGGAGCCGATCCATGCTCTGATCTGTTTCCCCTCCGACCCCGCTGCTCTTCCCCACATAAGTGTGCCCGTTCATTAAAAAGAGTAGAGTTCAGATTTTCTAGGCGTATGAACAACTTTCACTACATGACTGCACAGTGATCATGGTGAATGATGAGCTGATGACTGGTGGGATGATGATCAAAAAACGGAAGGCGGTAAAGATTCCCAGAATGAAAGCAGCAGGAAGATCCTTGCACTGCAGGTCCTCGGGTACAGCTTCCTAATAATCAGGTCCTCAGAAGAACAGTAAGTAGTACAGTAATGATATCACCAAACCTCAAGGGATTAGCAGTCATCAGAGGCAGGGGTTGACAGGATATGTCTGAGAACACATGTGCCAGATACAAGGCCCGGGGGCGAACCCAGCTCGCTAGGCCTTCACAGGAAGGCTGCTGAGGACCCCAGTAAGATCCTAACAGCCTTCCTGTGAATCGCAATGCCTGCTTACAGTGCCGGCAGCAAAACTCCTCCTTCCTGTGTATCCACGGCACCTGCCAAGACCAACCGGGATCCCTAGAGAGACTGCACAGCCCTGCTAAGACCCCGCATAGCCACCCGAGTCTGCACAGCCCACCATAGAACTTGCACAGCCCACCATAGCCCATGTAGCCCACCATAGAACCTGCACTGCCACCTAAGAGTCAGCACCGCCCACCAAAGACCCCGCACAGCCCACCATAGAACATGCACATCCACCAAAGACCCCGCACAGCCCACCACAGAACCTGCACAGCCACCTGAGAGTCCGCAGAGCCCACCAAAGACCCCGCACAGCCCACCATAGAACCTGCACAGCCACCTGAGAGTCAGCACAGCTCACCATAGAACCTGCACAGCCACCTGAGAGTCAGCACAGCCCACCAAAGACCCCGCACAGCCCACCATAGAACCCGCACAGCCCACCATAGAACCCGCCCGCACAGCCCACCATAGAACCTGCACAACCACCTGAGAGTCCGCACAGCCCACCATAGAACCTGCACAGCCACCTACTATTTCACTTTGCAATAACCAATGGCAAACTAGCTATTGCGCCCGCCCACTGCTGCTGCTGTCAATCAGCAGAGGGGGACCTGAAGTTCTCCATCAGGTCCTCTTCTAGTGATTGACAGCAGCAGAGGGCAGGTGCACTAGCCAGCTTGCTATTGGCTATTGCAAATTGAAATAGCCAATAGGAATCTAGCTATTAATTCCTATGCTGGTTTTTTGTTTTGTTTTTATTCTGACAGCAGCAGCTGTCAGAATACTAAAAAAACCTGCAGATAGCAAAGAATCTATTGCTTCCTGTGCTATCTGCCATCATTTCAGGGGGGTGCTCTCCCCCCCCCCCCCGCGGGTGGAAAATTAGAAAGACCGTCCC